TATATATATATATATATATATATATATATATATATATATATGATACATTCAAAAGGTAATACAAATCAAGAAGTCATTAGTTTGAGTGGTGTCTCAAGATTTGAGTATTGTAGATGAAAAAAATGTGGTTGAGAAAATAAAATCTCATTAAAGGTGGTCAACAATGTTAAACAATGAAGATTAGTCATTAGCAAATTTAATGGATATTATATACTAATAAAAAAATTTAGAAAATAATTTATTTCTTCTAATTACAACACACACAAAAATTATTTGACATATTGGATACAATAGATAGTATTTATCGATAATTATATGATAGGAGATGCTATTAGGATATGTTCATATAGAGAATTTTAGAAATTTAAGAAATTTAAAATTTTTAGAATTTGAATTCCTTTAATTTTAATTTTCATCATTCATTAAATACTTTGTTTGGAAAAATTAATTCAATTTTATCAAAAAAAAAATTGTTTGGATAGGACAACTTAATTTATACCAATGAAAAAATTGATTTTAAATAAATAAAGAATTATTGATAAACATTAATTATTTTAAATATTTAATAATTAAAAACTGTTAGAAAATTTAATAATTTTAAAAAAATTATTGATATTTTTATGTTAACATTAAAAGAGAAGAGAGGAAGGTAGGAGAAAAGAGAGAGACAGAAAGAAGAAGATAAAGAGAAAATGAAGTATAAGAGACAAAGGGGAGTGAAAAGAGAAAAAAGAAAGAGAGACAAATGGAGAAAAAGAGAAAGAAAAGAGAGAGAGGATAAAGAAAAAGAGACAAAAGTTAGATAAAGAAGAAGTAAGAAAAGAAAAAGACAAAAAAAAAATATTTTAAAATCGAATCAATCATTGAACTAATCTAGATAGAAAAAAAAAAAGCAAGAAAAGAAAAAGACAAAAAAAAATAATGTTTTAGAATCAAATCGATCACTAAACTAACCTAGACACAAATTCAAGATTTAATAATTCAACCAAAGTTGAACCTTGGTCAAATCGATATTAATAATAATTAATATTATCAATGCAAAAAATAATATTAAATAAATATAACATAATTTTATAACCCTAAAAATTAATAAATATGTTTTTATTTTTATTAAAAATATTTTAAATTAAATATATAAAAAAAATAAGACCGATTTATATCAATTTTTTGAACCAGTCCATCCAATTTGATTTTCAAAACAATGCAAAAAGATAGAGATAAAATATTACATGTATGAGAGATAAAAGAAAAAAAAATAAGAAAATTTTCAAATTCTTACTTCAGTTTTATTTTAAAGCATTTGAAATTCTTCATAATAAATAAATTACTCACTTAAAATCTCTTTAAAAACAGTTAAAGATGTTGTCTCTTTATTAAATTGAATATTTTAGAATTTCGATAGCCTCTATTTAAAGATGAAAACAAATAAAATAGACATTCATAAGTTAATGAGGAATGTTTGTTATACGAGGAAAAAAAATCATGTCCAAAAATTATAAATTCTATGAATTATGATTTCTAAAAATACTTAAAATTTATTTAATTGATCATAATTTTTTTAAAAAAGTATATATCAATGCTACATGAAAATCAAACATTTTTATTACATTAAATAAACACATAAAAGTAATATAGTTTTATCACAATAAGAATGCTAAAAAAAATTTAAATAATAAACCAAATATAAGAGATCAACATTCTCAACCTCATTCATGAAAGAAAAAAAATTGCCTGAAACGTCCCTTTACAGTAAACTTTCAAAAATAAAAACATTTATTAAAATTGTTATTCCCCTTATTTTGTTCGCTTGATATTTGTATCCTTTTTATTTTTGTATTTAATAAGATCATTTATGTTTAGTACTACTACATGAGTTTAATATAAAATTGAATAATTAAATTATAAATAAAATAACAATAATAATAATAATAAGTTATAATAAAGTTTATCTCTTCAAAGCTAAAATTTCTGCTTTTCTTTTCTTTAACATACCATTTTAACCCATTACTTTGAATATATCAATGGTCATCGATATAAAAACTTGATTATGATTTTATTTTAATTTGTTATGCCTAGAAAAATTCTGATTGTTCTTATAAACCTTCCACGGTTCCACTCGTGACAATTGCATCACTTTTCAAGAACAATTAAAAAGGGAATAACAAACAAGGATATCTTGTCATGGGGAAGGGGCCTGTGCAGACCATACCAAAGGACTTCCCATGTTATGACAAGAATTTCTCTAAAATCTTTCGCACAAATAAAGGCTTTATCATGCAAAACCCAAAGAAAAATGCTAACATGCCTTGTCAAGTGTCAACTGATACTGCCCTACATTAACCTCCTAGCTCCGAAAATAGTTTCCTAGGAGAATGGTGAGCAATGACAAGTCTCCTACGATTTTATCTAGAAGAGTTGACTAACCCCAGCCACTAATATTCATGCAAATATGCAGCTTCATGAAGACAGAGGTGGTCCACACAAATGATACAAGAGTACTGAGTGTTTTAGAACAATTTGCAAGGGCCCCATCAGGTTCTTCCTTTTAAACAGTAATCGACTATAGTCAAGAAGATCTCAGGTATCAGCTAATGATGACAAAGCCCACAACTCCGATTTAAGATACAGAATTCTTGTCAATGCCACATCTAATTTTCTACTACTTTACATAACTACACACCCTCCCCTGGGTGTACAGTTTCCCAAGGGAACTTGATACAAAGATTGCAGCAATATTAGCTGCTGATCTTTGAACAGTGCTCACTGCCTAGGTACTGGTGTCGGTTGTGTTGATGAATGGCTTTGCCCATAAAATCCTATGCCAGGTGGCCTGTAAAATCCTCCAGTTGATGATGGCTGCTGCTGTTGCTGCGGCGGCACTTGCTGAGCCTGTGATGGCTGAGTGTTGGGCCTCGATAACCCTATTGCAACATGTGGAGGTAAAGGAGGTGGAGGTGGTAGATTGTTTGATCCATATGCATAAGGAATTCCCCCAACCATCAATCCAGTAGATTGAACATAATGATTTGCTGGTGGGTTCACTGGGGAATGAGGAGGGGGTGGAGGGCCTGAAGTAAATGCAGCTTGTTGATTGGGTTGTGACAAGGGTTGCAAGTTGGTTGATTGTGTCAGTGGCACATTTGCCACTGATGGTGGTTGCAAAGTACTGAAAAAAGAAGAGCTCCCTGTATCAGTACTGTTAACCTCAGAAACAGACAATTGTTTATCAAGCTTGGGTTTCTTCTCTGGATTGTAAATAGGTAATCCAGAAGCAAAGCCGGTAGAATTTAAGCTACCGTTCATGGAGGCAGCTTCTTCAGCAACAAGGGAAGAAAGGACAGATGTAAGCATAAGGGCAGAGGATGTAGAGGCAGCAAGCTTAGCAGCAACAGCAGCTGCTGCTGCCTTCTTATCTTCTTCAGTGGTTTGGAGAGGAGCAAAAGATATAGAAGGTTGAGTAAAAGAAGGCTGAAGAGGATTGCTGTTTGGATGAACTGATGGAAGATTTTGCTCCAATGCCCTAGTGGCTTCTGGTGCTCGGGTAAACCTCTTCCTGATACTGGCTGCTTGCTCAACCTGACCTTGTGCAGCCTGCACAATAGTAAAGAAGCAGGCACCATTAAAGTGGGATTAGTCGACACCAATGCAAGACTTCACATACTTAACCATCCAAGAATCTTTAAAAATATGCTGCAGGTTATTTGAAGTTTTCAAATCTATTATGTTCAATGACCAAGGAAAAATTTTAAAATGATTATCAGGTGCTAAAGAACCAGCTAATCATTATTTTCTACAAGGTTTGTCCACAAGCACTGAAAAGTGAAAACTAATTTCATAGAATTTATTTTATAATAAAATGTGTTTGGTTATGAGTGAAACTTATTTCATTTTTCTTTCTTATTTTCTTCTATAAGTTTATGTAAAAGCTTATCCAAACAGGGTGAAAAGCAACAACCCAGATATGTTATCATCAGGTGAAAGTTTATGAAAAGTTGGGTCAATTCTTGATCAATGAAACTTACGAGTACCGTAGTACATCAAGTAACAAAAATCACTTAGAATTTCAAAATATTAAGGGAAAAGAATAGAGTGACATCCATGGAGAAAGGGCAAAGACAGATAGATGACAGATTCTTACTAGCAACCGGGTGTGAACAAGCTCTTGCCTTGTTTCCTGAAAAAACTTGACATTAGCAAGCAGTTATTAATTACATTTGCGTCTTTGAAATATAAGCATAAATAACTGCACCTGTTCCTGCAGTGCATCTTTAAGCTGGGAAAGCAAAGTAGCCCTGGCACCCTCAGCATTTTCAAGTTGTACTATATATTGTTTAAGTTCATTTTCCTGCTCTTTCAAGTCATTTATCAATGTGGAACCCAGCTGATTTCCTGGTATATCAAATCAATATTCAATAACAATGAGAGTAAATTAACTAATTGGTGAGGCTATAGCACTATAAATCTGGTCACAATTCATTACAGCAAGTTTTTAAGATAGTTTTGTTACAGTTATAGATCGAGTTACTGATTACTACGTTTGGGCAGGGATTGTACAAGTTGATATGCACTTGCACCGACATTGAATAACTAGCAAGTAGCATTAGTGCATCCTATTACAGTACCTTCCTTTTTTACATTATCTCCATTGTTTCTCTGTTAATTCCTGTTTTACAACATATCAAGAACCAAGTTCAAATAAAGGTCAGAAACTCAGATCAACCTGTTTACCAAAAAAACAAGATTTTCTTGACCATACTATGTTGAGAGAAGGGAAAAACGAAGGTATGGTGAAATACTGAAATTTGTGTCAAAGATTATCATTTCCCTACTTATCATAAATATATGATAATGTACATCTATAATTACCCTAATTACATTATTTCCAACACCCCCTCAACCATATAATATGTACCGGGCTTGTTTCATGTGTAGCTCATTTGAGGACCACTCAAAGACTTCAACAAAACATACTAGCTGTAGCTGGTCATTTGTGTTGACAAATTGGGTAACTGTGTGTTTGGATGAGGAATTTTACAAATTCAAGGAATTTTACAAATTCAAGGAATTTTACAAATTCAAGGAATTTTAAATTCTTGATATTTGAATTACTTTGATTTCAATTTCTATCATTCATAAAATATTTTGTTTGGATAAGTCAATTCAAATTTCTCAAATTTTAAATTGTTAGGTTAGATATGATAATTTGATTCCACCATGATAAAATTGATTTTAAAAATATATTTATATGTTGAGATTTTTAAATTAAATTTTATAAAAATAAATATTAGCTAACTTTTAAATATTTAATAATTTTAAAAATTAATATTAGATAATATTTAATAATTTTAAAAATATTTTTGAATATTCAATAATTAAAAACATGAAGAGATAAGAGATAAGATAAAATATACAAGTGAAATAAGAAGAAAAAAATATGAGGAATTTCAAATTCTTACTCTTTTGGGAGAATTTGAAATTCTACTATTTCAAGAAATTTCACAAATGCTTGAATTTTAAATTCCCTATAAATTCCTCATCCAAACAAGGTATTTCACCTCAAAGAATTTGAAATTCTTCAAATAAATGAATTACTCCATTTAAATTCTCCATCCAAACACACTATAAAGGTTTTTCCAAATAATAGCTTTTATGAAATGGCAATCTATTTTAATGTGTTTGACCAGTTCAGGAAACACTAGATTCAAGGCAATATGTTACACAACTTGGTTATCATAGATGCGAGTCATCTGCCCAACTTGTCCAAATCAAAGTTCCTAAAGTAACTTTTTGAGCCAAAACAAGAAGCCAATACCATCCGTAGTATTCTGCCTCAGAACTCATACTTGCAACAGCTCAAGTATGAACCTTGTCTTCGTAGATGAGACCATTAAGATATTACATAGATTATAGAGATATTGTTGAGATATTATTTAGATCACAGATATCCCAAGAGACAGCATACAGACTTGATTTAGTTGACTTTATTCCTATTTATATCATATTTGATTTGATCTGTCTTTATGTAGATAGCCAATTTTTAGGAGATTAGCAGTAATAATATAATTAGGATCCCATCTTTAGATTTAGATCCACTCTTTCCATATTTTTGGCTTTTATTATCTACATAATTTCGTATCCTTTGTACAAACTAAATCATCAGAAATATGCATATTTTTTAATCTTTTCCTCTGACCTTAAGTTGGTATCAGAGCATACACCCAGTGGGCCTGATAAAAACGAATCAAGAGCTCTAGTTGTCCTGTTGTGCAGCCACAATCCAAGGCAGCCATTGGCCCTAGATGACTCCATGCACCACTTCATCAGGGAGAAGATCTTATCAGGTGACATCACCACTGATTTTGTCAACTCTAGAGATCAATTGATAGATGTCTTCACTATGTCAAGATCCTAGAATTGGTTATATTTGTAACAAGCTCGGCATAAATGATTTATATACTCCAACTTTAGAGGGGGTGTTAAATATTGTAGATATTTTTAATTATGGAAATTGTTGGATATTGTTATCCTTAATTATGGTAATTAGGAAATTCTAGGATCTACATAATTGTATTAATTAGGTATTCTTTCTCTCTGTAATTATTATTTATTACCCACCTAAAATAATAAACACCATTGTATACATTGACACATGAATTCAACAATTGTGTAACTCAACATCGTTAGATATTGCTAGATATCCTTAAATGTGGAAATTAGGCAATTCTACGATCTCAATAATTATAGTAATTAGGTATTTTTTCTCTCTGTAATTATTACCCACAGTATAACATAATACACTCCGTTGTATACCTTGAAACAAGAATTCAATCATGTCTCTTGCTTTCTCTTCTAAACACAAATAAAATGAAATGACATTTTAAATAGACATAAATCAAAAACATCTTCATTAGTATGCTTTACTAAGTAAAGTCAAGCTATCATGTCGAAAATTTAGTTAATAATAGGATAGGATGGTAAACTAACAAAGGAACCTGACTTTTAAATTGGAAAAGTTAAAGGATTAAATTGCTACAAAAAAATTATTGTGAGTGAGTCTAGCTGATTTGTTTATATTTCAATATATATGGTCTGAATTGTGTGTGCAAGATAAAATAAGGCTAAAAGCCTAAGCCATCACATCAAAGTCGAATACAATCAGAAATTACAGAAAAAAGATTAAAATAATATGAAGCTTTCTTAACAAGCTATTCTAACACTCCCCCTCAAGCTGGAGCATACAAATTATATGCACCAAGCTTGGAACATAAAAATTGAATTCAAGGCCCCTTCAATGACTTAGTCATAATATCTGCAACCTATTCACGAGTTGACAAATTCAGTAATAATTTCCTTAGACAGTAGCTTGTCTCTAACAAAATGGTAGTCAACCTCCATATGTTTAGTTCTCTCATGAAATTGGAAGCAATGTGAAGTGCAGGTTAATTATCACAGTAAAATTTTATTGGATGAACTTCTTAGAATTTTAACTCTTGAAGAAGTTGCTTAATCCATACAAGCTCACAAGTAACTAAGGCATAGTTCAATATTCATCTTAGAATAGTGGATTTACGCCTAACTCAACCCTATAAAACCGGCTTGTAAAGTGAGGGTTGCTTTCCACTTATATACTATTTAATTGCCTAATCTCTAGTCGATGTGAGACTCAGGTTTTTCCCAATACACCCCCTCACGTCTAGCACTATTGGGCTTGGTACGTAGATAAATGGTAGGTGACCCTTTTTAAAGTGGGTCTAAATGGCTCTGATACCATCTTAGAATAGTAGATTGAAGCCTAACTCAACCCTACAAAATCGGTTCGATGACTGGGCTAAATGTGTCACTATAGTCAATACCTTGACGTTGGTGAAAGCCTTTGGCTACTAAACGAGCTTTGTAACAAGCAATGGTGCCATCCATGTTATGCGTGATACACTATACCTATTTTTTGCCAACAATGTTGAAGTGATATTATTTTGGGACCAAGGTCCAAGTCCCATTCACCATAAGTGTTGTGAATTCTTCAGACGTGGTAGATTTCCCTTCATGAACTTTGAGGGTTTGAGAAAGGCATGAGGGCTCAACTGGTTCTAATATAGGGAATTATTTTGCTATATATAATTGTTTTGGTTTAAAGATTTTATTTTTGGAGCGTGTGACCATAAGGTGGGTGGATTGTAGTCGTAGTTCTTCAACAAGGAAATGAGAGTTGGAAGAGGAAGTGTGCAAGTTACAATCTTGAGGCACATTGGAAATATGTGGTGATGGGAGTGTAGAGTTTGAATTTGGATTAGTTTGTTGCGAATGTAATGGTGTTGTGTGAGGAAGATACCATTCGAGGTGGGAACCATCTTAATGCCAACAAAATGACTGGGTGAGCCAAGGTTTTTGAGCGAGAAGTTGTCTACAAGAGAGCACTTGAAAGAAGTGAGAAATTACAAATCATTACCTGTAAGTAAGAGATCATCAACATAGACAAGGAAGTATGTTATGACCCGACCACTATTGTAAATGAACAATGATATGTCAGACTTTTAATTTGTGAAGCCAACACTCAACATAAATTATGTGTATTGTTGTACACATACCAATCTTATTTATAGAGAGAATACAATAAATGATAAAGATACTAATCTCTAATATTATGGAAACTAATCTAATCATATCCCTAATTGATAGTGAGAATAATAACCATAATATCTGTATCCACAATATTTGTAATATATCTACAATATCTGTAACACTCCCCCTCAAGCTGGAGCATATATATCATATGCACCAAGCTTGTTACAAATGTAATCAACCTGAGGCCCTGTAAGCGAATTTGTAAACACATCTGCTAAATGGTCATTGGAGCGGCCGGAGGCAGCGACCGGAGGCGGCTATCGAAAGTGGCGGTCGAAGTCAGCGACCGGAGGCGACTATCGAAAGCAGCGGTTAGAGGCAGCAACCGAAGGCAGCTATCGAAAGCGACGGTCGGAGTCGACGACCGGAGGCGGCTACCAGAGGCGGCAAACGGAAGCGACGGTCAGAGGCGGCAACCAGAAGTGACAGTCGAAGGCAACGACCGGAGGCGGCAGTCGGTGGTGCGACGACCAAAGGTGGCGGTCGGCGACGCGGTGACCGGAGGCTGCTGTCAGAGGCAGCGACCAGAGGTGGCAGTCGACGATGTGACGACCGGAGGTAGCGGTAGGCGGCGCGGCGACCGCCACCTTGGCGGCGCGGCGACCGGAGGCGGCGACCGGCGGCAGCTGGGGGTGGTAGCGAGGGCCTTTGCAAGAAGAGAGAAAAATATATTCTAAAAGAAAAACCTAAGCTCTAGATACCATGTTGTGATTCAGGAATTGTGTGTATTGTTGTACACACCAATCTTATTTATAAAGAGAATACAA